ACAAAACCCTATTATATAGGGTTAAAACCAGGGATACAGTCTGCAATAAACATCAGTCTGCAATAAACATACAGATAATATATATATAATTATTGCTTTTGCATGTAGTATTAGCTTAAGTACGTATACCACTGTATAAAGCAGTTTCAGAACTAAAATGGCAATGACCATGGTAAAGAGAAAAGCACTAATAATTTGTAAAACCAAAAACAGAAAACAGTATAAAAATGTTTTATGTTCCATATCTGATTTCAGAATATCAGTGTTTATTGTATTTTTTCTTACTAGTAATTACTCCTTAGTTCTTTAAAATATGAACATATATACTGGAAGGACAGTACGTTTTTGAAAAGCCATAACTGAACAAGAAAATGGAGACCCAGTAAAAACCAGAGCATGGTGCTGTATAACTGATTTTTAAGAATTACTCCCATTCACCTCTAAAAAGGTCATCTGAGAAGACCTGACCTTTCTGTAAATAAAAACAGCACAATTTTGCTTCATATTCAAAATAAGTATTCAAAATATTTTATCTAAGCTAAATCTCTTAGTAAAATAGACTATCTGCTACAACTGGATTCACTAAAAATTTTAAGGATTTTAACATGAACAAGTTAAATGAACAAAGCGCAGCTATCTTATGGTAACTGCTGATACTCATCCTTGTGTATCCTAGCAGATGTGAACTGGCTTGCCTCACTTTTGTTATGGGATAAGTTATTTTGCATTTACCCCAGTGTAAGAGAAGGCACATGGGAGGACACAGGGTCATACCTAACGTGTTTTAAACCCATCCCATAGCTTACCTGCCTGTATCCCACCCTTGTAGCCATGTCCTACAGTTGGCCCCTGGAAGTCCAAACCCAGCGTCGGGTATATAGATTGTCCCATCCGCTTCTCAGGAGCACTGACACGTGGGAAACGCTAAAGAGAGATGTGTGCTTCACCCCCACCGAGCCCTGGCTCCGGCAGGCCGCCGGCTGCTCGGGGTCATCCAGCCAGAATCCCTGCCTGGGGACAGGGACACGCTCACCTCCTTTCACACAGCTGAGATGCTTTAATGCTCGCCTATGACATGTGCTTGCTACAGAAGGTCATGGTGCTGCCCACTTCTATACATTGACATAGTTAGAGCATTTATCCATGAAATGGGATTTTTGGCTTCAGTGTCTTTCTCAGCCTCAGGTACCTTACTCCCAGAAAATTATTATATCCCCCAGGCTATAGACAAGTTTGGGTGGAGAGTTACTAGTGGATACAATGGAAACTAAACCAGTTATTTACCACTGTTTTATTGCAGTTGTTTATTTACATGACTTCAGTGTCCAAGCTATTAATCATCTATCTTTTATCACCATTTATCTTCAAAACCCCACCAAGGCAGAGAAATAGTCCTGCCCCCACAATACACCACAGATCCCTTAAATTAGAAGCTGTGGTGGAACTGGCGACTGAATAAAACTGCCTGGGAATCCACAGCAGAATAACTGCTGCAAAATCCTTCTGCTCCCACAAGCTTTTGGGAACGTCCCATCTTTTTCCTGGTCCATGACAATGTTTAACAACATTTGTGGCTTGCGGAATGACGATTTGGGTCCAAACCCTCCGCTGGCAGAACCACCTGCAAAGCTACCCTCTAGAAGGGCTTTGCCAGCCGTGGTTCGGGACGTGACCCCGAATCCTGGGGCTGGCACATGACGTGCTTGTGCTGCCTTTCTCCTACGCACTCCTACTGATGAAGCTCCACCTACAGGGTTTGATTCATCAAGATGAGGTGGCTTGACTTACGTGCTAAGTTCAATTAACTCTTTTGATTCACACAGAAGTAGAATTAGAGTAAGCAGAAACTGCAGACACACAAAAAACTACAAGAAAGGAAAGTTAACGTGAATTAGACAAACAGAAAAAAAAAAAAGGGTGCTTTCCCTTGGAAGCCCTGAACCTATTATACTTTTATGCATATTAATGCAGTCAAAGTAAGTATTTTCAAGAGGGATTAACAAATCAGCTTAATAAGGTATTTATTTTGTTGTACTGTAAAAAAATATCTGTTATACAGTAACACTTTGGGGCAGAAGAGTATGCATTCAATTATTACAGGAATATAAAGAAAAATATTTAATCTGTTAATGTTTGAATTCAGCAAATAGATATTAATTTTCTCCTTTTCTATTTAAATAGTTTTCTTCTATCTAAATAGGCGAGGATTTGTTTCATTAGTGTGTACTTATATTATTGTAGATATATATGCCCTGAATTCTACAGCTGAAATGTTCTGCTACTCATGACTCAAAGAGATGCTGGAAAACTGGAAACAATTTTTTAAAAGTGACTCAAAGCCCAAAAAGCACAGTAGCAAAAGCTAAACAAGATTAGCTAAGAGTAAGTTCAGATATTGACTCAGACATGTCCTAGTAGAGATTTCTGATAGTGACTGATTCCAGCAGCAAAAAGCATCACAGAGGATTGTGGTTGGAAATCAAGCTGAAACCAAGGCACGCACCAGTCACAAAGAAGAAAAAATTATTAAAGTATGTAATGAAGCACCCATCACTCCAGAGCAGGTATCTTTCTAAGTAGTATGCTATAGCTTAAATAGAATATATAAGCTTGATACAGAAATTGGGTGGGCAAGACTCCTTGGTCTTATTTTGATGGTGAGGATGATCATACTAGTTTATTAAATGCTGACCCTATTAAGGCAAGGCAGGTTTTCTTGAATATATGGGGCAGGCCCACATATTCAAGAAAACTGTGGAGAGCACTAATCGATGATTTATATTATGCCTAAGTCTAGAATAACATCTCTTTTATGTTTCTAGACTATAATCTTTTTATGTTTGTAGATTGTTAACAAATAAAACATTAAGTATAAAGTTTATATTGGTCCAACACGTTACAGCAGCAGAAATTTATAAATTCTTGTTATTCTATCAGAATGAGAGATGGGGGGCTATTTTAAAATCACCTGTTAAAAACCAGCGTAAGGTTTTCAGAGCGGCTCGGCCGGGTGAAGCGGAGCGGGGATCACGAGGCGCCGCCTAAGTGACAACATCCATGAGAGGTGACACGCTTCTTACCTACCTCGGGCACCGCCGACAAATAAGACATGACACCAATCCCAGCGCTGAAGTTACATGAGAACACCTGTGCTGAGTCACACCGAGGGGTCAGGCAGCCTGCTATCCTGTCCCTCAGCCGTGGGAAGTATAGGAAGAGGGCACGCACAGCTGTACGTCCTTACTGTACACTGCCAGCCTCTGGCACTTTGTGCCTTAGTTATCTTCTGGGCCGGTCTTTAATAGCTGTCAATGAACTCTCTGTTTGCATTTTTTCAATTCTCTTTTGACCAAGACAAAGTAGCTTTGTGACTCAGGGACTTCACACATCAAGTAATACATACAGAATACATCGCGTGGAAGGGTTATTAGAAGGATTTGGGGGTTATCACATGCTATGCATGCTGCGGTATTTATGTTTGGCAGATTTTCCTCTCTGAGAAAGGGACATAAAGCTAAAAGCAAAACTTGTACAACATTATCTGCTCTACACTGAAGGTCCTTCAAACAGGTGGTGTTTCGTATCACTTCTAATAGCTTTCTTATACATACTGCATGATTGTCTTTCAAGCATGAGGTTGTATCATTATTTTAAGTCCTCCAGCAACAACTCCCAAGATCTAAACTCATATGTATACCCACACATACACAAACACACAATGGTTGTCCTACCACACAGTCCAGCAACTTTAAAATATTAAAAATGTGATCTACCTCCAGATATATCAAGCAGCAATACAATCTCATAAAATAGTAATGCTTCTTATTTTTTGATTACTGGCAGGCATCAGGCATAGCAGCAGGAAGGTGAGTTAGCAAAGACATTCAGACACTTCTCCCCAAAGGCACAGTGACCTCAAGGGTCGAAACCAGCTTTCTCCTACCGAAGTGTGAGCTGGTGCTCCCTTATGCCATTAAAACACCACAGAATTAGGGAGAGAATACCTTTTAAATCAAGAATTTCGTAGGCACAGAAAAGTCACTCTGGAAGCTAAACAAGAATGTTTCAGTTAAAAATTGTATTTTTTGCTGCAGCTGTTTCTCAGTTTCTTCCTGACAAACTGGCTAAAAAAAATATTGTAAAACAAACTCCAGTGGTTTGGCAGTGGATTGATTAACAGTATTTATTGTACACGTCATGAATGGCACTGACACTGTGGAAGCCTAGGTCCTATAGCATCACATTTTATCAGAAACACTACACAATCATTTCCCTAAGCTATATTTGCAGCAGTTACAACTGCTTTACTTTTCTAATGCCAGCAATTACATTTAAGTTTGTTTTCACATAATACCTCCTTAGGACAGTCAGAGAGAAACCAATCGCTCATGGGACAGAATTTGTTGTTTTCTTTTGTTTGTTTTTTAAGAATCTTGCTGTGCATTTCAAATTCTTCCTTTAAAAAATTAACCCAATACTACCGGTCTTTTAGTCTTTTTCTGCAATATTCTTCACGTTAATTGAGACAATGTTCACGTGGCATAAATATTAATGTTACAAGCAAGTTGCTATATTTTGAAGACAACTTACTTGTTTTCACTAACTATACTGACTATACTTCATTATGGCAAATAATTTTGAGAAAGTATAATCACAAACACCGTGGGTTTGTTTTTTTTAAAAACACAACACAGAGGCCACCACAATTACAATAAAACTTTAGCCTGTTACGATTTGTTTTCCTCCAAAAGCAAGGAGATGAAGATCAACAAAAGAATCAACAGAAACTAAACATATTGCACAAACAGTCAAAATGCAGAAGCCAACCCGTTGGCTCTAGGGAGGAAGAATTCAAGCTACTCCCATGAAAGTAAATGGCACTTGTCAGTCAAATTTGGCTTGACTGGGTCTCATTCTGCTTCATCTTTCTGCTCTTCTGCTTCACCACTTTGCATTTCCCTTCATCGCTTTGGGGAATGGCTGCAGCAGAGTTTTCCTTCCTAGGACTGTGTGCTGAAGGAGCCGCAGTTTGTAACCCCCGCGGGCTTGCGCCGGGGGGACCCTCTCTGCAGGCGGTGGGAGGGGTGCACCGGAGGGGTCTCTGGCAGTGAAACGTGGTAGAAGTTCGGTAACCGAATGTCGTACCTAAAGCCTTTCCCCACGTGCACTCTGTCATTCAAGGCATACAGTTTTTCAGCAATGTCGCTCCCAATTAAAATTGAGAACAGGCGGGAGATGAAACGGTGTTTAGCAAAGAGCAGATACAGCTTCTTCCTCCTCCAGGCCACGTACCGACAATCTGTCTCTGCTGTAAGTGTCACCTATAGAAGAGAAAATTAAAATAGGTAGGTGATGAGGCAGTGATATTGCTGCTGCTACCCTTGCTCAGAAAGCACCCCCGCTCTCCCAGCGGGCACGCAGGCTGCGTCTGAAACGTACACTTCGCGTCTTTGCGCCTGCTGCAATCAAAGCCATTTAATCCAGCCAGTGAGCTCTGCGAGGTCTACTGTGTGCAAAGGACAAGCGAGAAGGGTGACTGGGAATGGACCGCATGATTGCATCTTGTCGGCCTCAGTGACGGTACGCCTATGCCCACGCTGAGCGGCAGCCCCAGCCAGGACCCAGGCTGGCAGCGTGCCCCGGCCGCGGCCCTGGACTCCCTGCTTTTCTCTCAGCAGCCCAGCTGGAAAAGCAGGTCTAAAGAAAGCTCTCGATAAATGCCATTTGCCCTCATGACACGAGACATCAGATCCCACACAGGCAGGAGCCAGCGTGTCAGCCCAGCGACAGCAGTGGGAGGGCTCACGGATCACGGGGGGCAGATCCGATGGACACCGTGTCCCACGCTGTCCCCCCGTGCCAAGCTGTACCGCAGGCATGCCTGTCCCCAGCCCGTGCTCTCCGGTTCACCTCCCGAAGGGAAGCCTCTTCAGCACCAGCTTCCACCCCCCTCCTGCAAACATGGTTTCTCAGGGCTGGACTTTAGCACAGCCAAAGAATGCAAACAGAGTCTACCTCCCGGATTAGCTTTAAGAAAAACCTCATTTGTTGTAACAACAAGATGCAAGCAGAAAGAAGAGACAAACAGCATAACCAGTCCAGCGGGTAAAGAGGACTTCCCTCCCCAAATTAATGGAATGCCACTTGTTTGTATAATTTCACAAACGAAACCCACAACTAAATGAACTTATTTCTAAACCAGTTAGTACTTGAACAGTTCTCTGTAGTATTCAAAAAAACCTCCTCCACTTTTACCTGGAAAATTCCCTCTTCTGTGGGCCTCAGTGAATCCCATTCAGGAGAATCCAGAAATTGAAGAGGAAAAATATAATGCAGAAACTCCCCATCAACTGTCACTCTGATCCTACCAAGATAAGATGTGTTAATTTGTTAGTACTACCTGTACAGCGGCAATGACTGCAGCAAGAATGTATTCTTTCTACTATGTGAGGAGTTTACATACACCTTTGAGAGCATGAAAAACCGATTACTGGCCAACAGTATCCTATTTATATTTTTGAACACAGCTTGATCAGGCCATTTGAAAGAGAATACAAGACAATCATGCAGCTGAAATGGAAATCTTTCCAGGCCTTATTCAAGTCGTATTATTCTCCCTGGGGCAGGTCTGTGCAGCGACGTGCAAGCTTTGCATGAAAAGGCCAGCGTGCACTGGAGAGGTGAAAGACCGATGTACGTAACACCGTTCGCCTCCTTCACTTGAAAACCATGGGATATACTTCTAGGTTTGGTAAATACGCATTTTAAAGGGAACAAAGCGGCAAAAGCAGGGAGTGGGAAGCAGGAGTTCCCCACGGCATGTGTTAGGTAGGGCTCTCTCAATGTTTAACGGGAATTACATGGCCACAGGACTGTCTCTGGAGCCAGGAGAACAGCATGGAGCTATGGGATCTCTGTGTGAATGCTGTGGCCTTCTGCAGATGCCAAAGAAAAATTTTCTTCCTACTTTTTAAATCATATTCAAGTTTGAAGGCACACAAGCGGGAAACGTATGCTTAAACCTCATGAGCTAAAAGAAAAAAAGCAAGCTGTAGGAGTCCCCTTTTTACATCTGCTTTGCCCCGAGATTAATGCTTCTTGTAACATCAGAAGCAGCAGCCCTATCCTGCACGAAGGAGGGTAGCAGGAACTCCCTGCATGATTACTAACTGGCTGGGCATGTAGCAGGATGGACACCTCTCCTTCAGTATGACTATGACCAAAAGCAACCTCCACGTGGTACTCTCTGAACAGCTCCCAAGAATGCTCTGAACCAGGGTGTCATTAAGGACAACTACCTAATCATATTGTTCATTGCAAGTAGTCCTAAATCAGCTGAGTTTCAAGCTGCCTACAAATTCCATCTGTCCATGCAGCAGGCTGTCAAAATGCACCTACGAAGTGTCCCATCAAAGACAGACCAAGGCCATCATCTCTGGGTATCCCATCTACTCTTGTGGTGGTCGAAAGCTAGTATTTCCCTTCAAGAAAGCATCAGCAAGGTTGCCAGAAGGGTCTCCAGTAAGCAGGGAGTACAAGCAGGTGGATTTATTGCCTCAGGGTCTAATCAAGGGCCGCAGATACAGTAACTGCAGACTCAGTTCTGCCTTCTTGATAGGGACTCAGTTCTATCCCCTTCTTGATAGGGCTCGACTATGTCCCCTTGTAATGGAAGGGCGCTTTTAGGCCTTCTGCTCTCCCTTACGTCCTCTCTTCTCCCACCCCCTAGAAAGCAACCAAATACAATCTGTCTCAAAGTCAAGATCTCTATTAAAAAGAGTTTATCTCAGTATATTCAGTTTCATAACTACCTTTTAGTCCTGTTTCAGATGATACTAGCAAAGAAAAATATGAAAGATGCCGTGTTCATCAGCTAGGCAGTAGATAGACAGCAAACCATAGCCTGAAGACTGAAGCACACATTTGTTCCCTTATCTGCCTAACCTGTTAAGTGCTATGACACAGTGGTCTGGAAAAGAATGACTTAAAATCCTTTTCTTTATGCTATTACAGATTTTGTGCTTAGTGTTTTTATGCTAGTGCTGTCCTAGACAAGTGTATTTATCCTATTAATATTTATATTACTTGCATTAATATTTAATCTATTGTACTGGAAAATGAACGAACAATACACAAATGAGGCTTTTTTTTTTGCTTTCGTTTTCAAGGAGGAGGAAGAAATAAAGATATTTGCAGTAAGTCTGAACAAGCCGATACAAACCTGCCTGACACAAGCAAGGACAGTTTATCAATAGGTGTTTTGCCCTGCATGGCGTAACAGTGTTCCTTCTCCAGCGTAACCACTTCTGCGTCGCAGCACAAGACGATCTTCCTGTAGACAGTCAAGGAAATTCCCAGAGGCTGGAAGAGAGCGCTGTAGAGTTCCTGGAATTCTCTGTCAAAGGAAACACTCCGAACTTGGTAGGTAACGTAAATGAACTGGACGAAGCATATAGCAAACAGTATAAAATTCCAGGAGAATATATCAGCAGCACAGACATCCAGCCAAGCCCAAACAGAAGAGCAGAGAAAGCCCAATCCAAGCAAGCTGAAGACATAGAGAAGCCCAAAGAATCCACTTCCACCCATGAAGCCCACAACAAAGAGAATACTGGCTAGGTGGTAGATAGATCCCTCTGCCTCTTGCTTCCAGGTGGTACATGTAGGATGTGCATATATCAAACTTTCCCAAAAACTTGCATTTTCTCCCATGGCTGGAATAATTTTTTGATTCAGCTGAATCTTGGGAATTTTTATTTAAGAGATGCAGCTAGCGGGGTCCTTTGCTTTTCCATTCTTGCAAACTCTGCTCAGTGATCACATAACGTCAGGGTCTCTTTTGGTAGTAAAGTCGCACTTAGGATTTCCAGCAACTAGGAAGCTAATGTTCTCAGGAGGTAATGCTGTTTCTCATCAGTTCATGCATTGTTTTGACTTTGGCCGTGTCATCTGTAGCTTCATCTGATCTGGACAAGTGAAGAAAAGACGAATTACTTATAAAATGATTTTCATCAATTAAACTCTATCAAAGCTTTTATTGCCTAAAACCACAGACTGCATTACAATCTTCCAATTCCCCCTCTAGCCCTGTGATTCCAGGATCAAACCTTAATATTCATTCAATTGAAGATCATGTTTCTGTATCTATGAACCCTGTAGCAACTGTCGAAACGCCACTGAATCCACGTAAACCTGCACATCGCATCCACAACATCCTGTGACAAGCCTTTCCGCAGCCTAGCTGGGGAGAAGGTGGTTGCATCTGTTGGTCCTGAGCCTGCTGCCTGCAAGTCTCATTTAATGCCCTACCTAGCTCTTGGACAAGAAGTGACAGTGAACTCTTGTGCCTTGTTCAGCTCCTCCATCTCACTCTGGATTTTGGCCAAACCACCCTCATTAATGAGTTGAGCAAGGCTGCTCTCTGTCCCCGGAGACAACAAACTACATCCCCAAACACCACAACCAGGGAAACCCAAGTATCACGGGGGATTCTACTCCAAGGATGACAGGCAAAAAGCTGTCATGCAGAAGGAAGACTACAAAGCTTAAAGGCAGCTTTATACAGGTTATGTTATTAGAACGTGAAGTAAGTAGTCCTGCAAAATACTTCTCAAAGGGCATTTACAAAGCAATTTTATAACATTCAAAGTTCTACCTTGTATAATTTCATGCCATGGACCACATATTTTTATTGTTCAACACTGTAAAATGTTAAACACACTATTTGTTTCCATATATATATTCCTAAGAGTTAAATAAAAAGTAAAATATGCAAGCAAAAAGCATGGAAAAAAACAAAATAAATTAAAAAAAATCAAAACCAGCTTTCTATGTCTGTCTTTTAAAGTAAAAGTACATGCTTCAATGTGAGATTAGACATGGTAGGAATTGCAAAGCCAGAGTCTATCAGTAATGTAATCAGAATTGAAACCCACCAAAGTCTTTAACTGTCTGGTTCTTTTCCTGGTAAAACAGCAAGGAAGCTAAGAAATATCTTGCTATCTAAATTATTAGATGCTCTAGAATATCAAAGGTAGCTTCCCCCCCCCCCGCCCCAAAGAGCCACAGAATTCAATACTTAAAAAGTACTGCTGGTGCAGTGAAGCATCCAACATCATTCAGCAGGGGTTTCAGTGGGTTTTTTTTTTACAGTGACAGGTCTAAGAAATTATTAAAGCAAAGTCGTATCACATTTCCTAGCTGCTACAGCTTTCCTTCTTTTAAGTTTATTGAAGCCCCAACATTAATTCCATGATTCAAAAACACTAATGCTGAATGAAGACATAAAATCCTAAACAACCGTGTGGCAGAGTTCAGAAGAAAAGGTTAGGAGGAGAGCTCTCCCTCTCTGGGAGTGGCAATAGGGAAGTCGCTGACCCATAAAAATATCAGAGCTAAAGAACACGGAATCTCTCCAAAGTAAAATGCTCGATATCCTACTGCAGCAGAAGAACCAGCATTACAAGAATTAGGTAGTTTGAGACTAATAAGCTTTCTGTTTGTCTCTTTACCCAAATACTCTTCTCTGGATTCCCCCCGGACACAGGATTTAGCCCTTGGAGAATGGGAGATAAGAACTGCATCAGCTACGAAGAAGTTACCAAGGCAGGGTAAGAGCATGAGGAATTTTAGATGGTACTTCTGTGATCAAGTGGGAAGACTTCTGAACCAAAAGAAAATAAAACTGGAACATGCAGTTCCCAGACCTTGTGTTCTGAATCCAGTCAGCATATCCACTGCACAGTCAAAAATCAGCGGCAGGAGTTTTTTGTTTGATTGTTTGGTTTTTTAAATAGAATCATAGATAACAGTGATTTTGGATTATTGTTAATACTTCTACTCTATTGCCAACATTTTCCTCTGAGCAGTTCTCATGAAGGCCCTAATTTCTACAAAAAATTCAGTGTTTTGAATGGAACCATGACTGAGAAGTTACATGGAAGCTGTATGCGTGCCACAAATAAAAACACCGTGGATCCGTACTATAATCTACTTTCCATGACCAACGTCTTTTTGTCATGTAAAGTCACACATTGCAATCATTTGACATGATGTTGCAATAATTTCACAAAATTTATGTTCAGTTTCTAATTCGCTTATAGCATTCACAGCCTGCCCACACTACAGCTCACAGCATTGCTGTAAAACATCTATTCATGACAAGATGGGTCAAAATAATTTGGAAAGAACAGCACACCACTAGGACACAGAGGGTCATTGTACACAAAACCAAAGCCGTGGAAAAACTGTCCTGTATTTGTAACTGTTTATTTTTGGAATGGGACCTGTCTTCCAAAACCACTGTATGCAAAATTCCTACTTATTTCAGTAGTTCTGCACAATGAGAACTTTTACTGTGCTGCAGCATCACCCAGGCGGGAGAGGCCAGCCTCCACCCGGGCCAGGGGAACGGCAAAGGAGGGAGGCCAGCGCTAGTACAGAATACAGCCTCACCAACATGGCACTCTCCTGAGCTATGTAAGGTGTGCAGCCAAAACCAAACCCTCTGGAAATACTGACGAAGCCTCCTACTAAATGGAGCTGGTTTCTCAGGGCTACGGTGAAGAGCAGGCGTGCTTGCTGCCAGTGAACTGCAGGCAGAAAGAGAGGATTCACCTCTTTTTAATCACGAAATTATTCTAAGATTTGGGAGCTAAAAATTGTTGGTAGTTTTTTTATGAAGTATTAAATAAAGCAGAGACAATAATATATATAGGCCTAAGTATAGTAAAATTTCCAATTTAGATTGGTACTTAGTGCTAAACAAGGCCTTTTACGTTTTTCTTTATAGTTCCTACAAGTCCAAAATTTAAACTCTTGAGCGCTTCAGAACAGTCACTCTAATTAAGCCATTCATCTATTGCAAGCGGGGGTGGGGGGAGAAAAATCCCCCAAACCAAAAAACCAAACAGCTGTGGTACCAACTGTGAGTCACTCTCCACTGAGGACCCACCTACAAAGTGCCCACAGTAGCACGGCATTACCAGGTTTGCAGGCACTCGAAGGGGACACCATCCTTTCACTGAGATGCTTCGGCATTCTTAGCTACCGGGAGAGGGAACGTGCCAACTGACGTGGCCTTGGCTGATGTCCTGCTTCAGTCGTCCTGGCTGTGGTGAAGAGTTATTGCTACAGGTTCATTTGATGGTGGTGATCTGGCAAGCTTCAGCGGGAACCTGCATTTAAAGCAGGTATCTTGGATTATAAGCCTGAACAACTGTATCTTCCCCAAGTAAATGTCGAATACTTTCTACTCTGTGCCCTGCCTACGGAGAAGAAGGAGCACCATGCACAAGCACAGTCTTTGCTACATGACTACTGTATTCAGAATAACACAATATTGTCACCTGTAGGCTGCCGGAGCCGGAGGTGCATGGAAGAGGTCTCCTCCCAGCTCAGGAAGGAGACATGTCCTGCCAACACAGGCTGAATTACTGAGATGCTTCTGAGTGTTTTGCCCTACCACACATCCCACCCTCTCCAGCAGACCAAGTGCTGGGAAAAATCAGCCCAGACTAGAGATGTGAGCAATATACAGCGGCATGGGCTTCTTTAAAACAAACAGCAGCACTGCTGAAAAGACTAAGCTGTCAACAGAAAGTGTTAAAATCAAGGAGTTTGCTGGAGCTTCAAAGCAGTAAATGGAGTATTTCACTTATACTCTCCAAAATAAATACCTGCCAGCAACTTAAAACTTCATATAAGCAGTATACTAAAACAGTCAAAACAGAATGAATTTATATTGTAATTTAAATGCATATAGTACAACCTCCCCCTCCCCAAATGGGCCTTTTCCCCATACACTGCAGTATTCCCACAAAGAATTACCAATTACGTACATTTTTAATTTGCTTGAGAACTGGGTACTTTACCCCATTTTTGTCACTAACAACTCAAATTCAACTCTGAGAAGCTTTGAGTGTTCATTACTGTGTCTGGATCACACAAAAAATAAACCCTAAAAGCCCTGAGGCCACCAGCAGTTCTTTCTTTGGTCTTTTTTTAATTAAGTCAAAAGTAAAGCTATTCAGCATTCGAATACTCCATTCTTTAGTTGTCTTATCCCAAGTATTCAGCCAGAAAGCCCTCAGCACTTTCACACCGTACATGTTGACAGGCCGTAGAGCCGTACATGCTGATCGTGTAACCAGCCGGGATGAATTGTTTGCTACAGGTTTGAAAGCAAAAAAGAAGATTTTCCTTTACAGCATATATGCTTTCACGTACAAAATGAGATTATGCTGAATTTAGCAGGATTTGTCTCACTGGTTTTAGCCATCTACAGCGTAGATGTTTATACGTGAGCTAGTGGCCACAGCCTGGCTCGGCAGTCAGGGAAGCTGCTCCAGCAACTCTGCCGGGAACCCAGCGGTCCCTCCCGCCAAGGGGGGCCCTCCCGGCCTCGATGCCCCCTGCTTCCAGAGGGACGAGCTCTGAGCACCCCGTCCAGGCTGGCAAGTTACATCTGGCCATCATTTAGATGTGTAAAAAGAAGCTGCTCCTTAATTTTAGCAAGTACTTCCTCTAACATGCAATGTAAATGCATACGTCAATTAACGTACCCCTTCCTTCCGTTGCCCCTACGTCTCTGAAATCCTTTCTCTGGCCCCAGTCCAAAAGACAAAGGTATCAAGATAATCAGTCACTATAAAACTAGATATACTCAGATTACAAAGACACACAAGCATACATAACAAAGGTAATTAATTAAT